ACCATGATATACCGAGTTCAAAGTTACACTTTGACGGGTATACAATGCTCGACGAAACACAAAGTGTACAACGAATATGTTGCATTCTCTTCTAATTAAAAAATACATTGGTACCGAAAAACACTTCGAGCACTTTTAAAAAAGCCTATTTAAAACGAGACCCTATGAGATGACACACCGATAACAACAACAATAATATCCAGAGAAAAAAAAAATAATAATAATAATAATCGTATCAAAGTCTGATTATGCTTTGGTAATAATAACCTCAAAGCATTTTCAAAATTACAACGAAGCGTATCGTTTTCTTGTACTTGAATCGTTGATCTAACTGTAAGACACTTTTCAAAGAAAGGGCACGTAATTGTCGCGAATATCACGATTATCGCATCCTTATTCTCTTTCCTTTTTTTTTTTTAAATTCCTGATCAATTCTACGCAACATCCACCGTGTGAGACATTTTCATATTTCGCGCCATTCATAATCTTACAAATATTAAGTATGTATATGTATATGTATATGTATATGTGTGTACGTGTATGTGTATATGTATATATATATATATATATTCTTTTGATAGTTGAAAGCTTATTGAAAGGCCATTAGTTAATTTAGCCACTGGCGAATTACTTAAATTCGTACGCAATTTATGTATAATGTATAATGTAAAAACTTCTCTCCCGTTCTTTCCCTCTTACATTAATTTTCTTAATCGTAACAAAGTAAAGAATTATCCCCTTTATACTTATAAACTTTCATTCATTTGATTCTTCTCGAATAAAAACAATAGATCGTAAGTAACTAAATATCATATATATATATATAATAAGACTAAACAAGATCTTTCTAGAAGAGAAGAATCGATAGAAATCAACAAAAAAGGAAAAAAAAAAAAAAAGAAAAATAGAATAAATATATATATATATAAAAAAAAAAAAAAAGAATAAAATATTCTTCTTACGAAAGAAACGTTTCACGTATCTTCGACGTATATCTATCTCGCTTTACCAAGATCTATATATATATATATATATATGTATATCTCTATAATCCCATGGACCGATCCCAATTTTTGTCATTAAAAAAAAAGAAGAAGAAGAAGAAGAAGAAGAAAAAAAAAAAATGATCGCTTGGCAAAAATCTCTCTCGCCTTAAATGAATTACAATCAAACTCGCAATTCAATTTCTACATTCACAAAAGTAAACGGCAATTAGGACTGATGCTCGTCTCGGAAACGAAGCATCTTCGCACTTTCGTCTCCTCGGACTTTTTTACTTCCGAATGGCAGGTAGCGGTGTTGTTCACCGATTGATAATCTTGAGGAATGGGATTACCGGCAGCGCCGCCGCCGC